GGGCCGGGGGAATGGAGGGGTGTTAGGGCCGCATCCGAGTGTGCGTTGGTGCGTGTGTAGTCGGAGCCGTTGTGCATTCCGACACACGTGCTCGCAACGCGGGGTGTTGCGGCCGCCGCACGGGGACACCTAGACGCCCGGACCTGGCGAGAGGTGTAGTGCGCTGTGGTTTCAGGAGCGCCAGGGTCTGCTGCGGCGGGAGGAGGGTTTTGTTTTGCGAGCGCTAAGCCTTGGCCTTGGTTTTGTTGTGGCAGGCGTCGTGTCGCCCACCCTCCTGCCCCCGCACTTCCTTTGTACGTAGTTAATAAGCAATATCGCCCCACACTCGCTGTCTTTTGCAATCTGGTTGCTTTTGTTTTGATGGTGTCCGGTGGGGATAGGTCGGGAAGCGAGGGGATTCAGAGTGAGAACTCCCCGCAGGGTGTGCGGCGGGAGGAGGTGGGGGTTTTATTCTCAGAAAAATGAAAGTGTGGCTTTCTGGTACATTCAAGATGGTAGGGTAATTTGAACACGATTAAAAGTTTAAATGTCGCCCAACGGGGACTGGGAATGGTGAGGGCGTGTTGGTGAGTAACGGTTGCCGAGGGTATGCAGGTGGTGCCAATTAACTTTGAAAAAATCACGACTGAGCCTTCAAGAGTGAGGGGGAAAAGTAGGAGGCAGCGGGGGTTGTCTAGCCCCATCACTGGGGCAATTCAGAAAGGCTGTTTCTATAAACAAATCCTTAAACGTCTCGAAAGAAATGAATCCGCGATGGAACAAGATCAGATCGTGGTTCGCGTATTTACTGCGGAGTGGGACGCGGACCGGGGCCGGACCCTACGCAGATCTGGGCTCTCCTGCTCTTTGTTTTCTCAACTTTGAGTAGACTCCATTGGGCGAAAGGCCTTCCGGCTCCCTTTACTAAGGCGTTTAGTTTTGGTGGTGTTTGGAGGGACAAAGGAGGGCTTTTATCTTTAAAAGATAAGTATGGGTTAGAAGACACTGGAGAAATAATCCATTTCATTATGGTATACAGTTGAACTGTATAGGTTCTCTGGTTTTTTTTTAACGTTCTGAAATCCAAAATAGCAGGGGTGGCCTTCTCCGAGGCAGGAGTCGGGCATTTTAAAATAGGCTGTCTTTGTTTTGGAGCGTTCTTGAAGGATATTCTTTGTAAAAGACGGCGATTTTTGAGAACACAGGAGGGGAGGGGGTGTTTTAACGTATGTTTTTGCTCCATGATGCCAGAGCTTCCCCCAGAGATCCCTTTACAGTGGTTAGTTTCTTGAAACCTGATGGGTGGGCAGAAGGCACCCCAAATCTCGATGATAGTTTGCTGAAGCCTTGACTCAGTACCTGCTTCTCCCTCCATCTCTCAGATGTGGAGGATTAAAAGCTATGCCTGTGAACGTGCTTTCAGATTTTAGCTGGGAAGGTGCTAGACCACTTAATTCTGATAGAAACAAGCTGCCTAACCCTATCAGGAGGGCATTCTTTCAGCTGTTGTGGGGTATAGAAATAAAGACCGGGTGGTGGTGATTCAGTTGCAGGTATTTTGCTGGCGTATTGATAAGAAACTAGAGATGGCAGTAGAAAGTGTGTGTTGTTAAGCTTAGAAAACTTAGTTTCTGCAGCAGAGGCAGTCATACGGACGAATGTGTTTGTTTTGTGTCACCGTCATGCGAACAGAGCATCTAAATAAAGGAGGTTTGGACGTTCTGGGTGCTAGCCAGATAATCTGATGACTATTTTCTTTTTAAAAAGTCAGCATCCACTTTACATTTATTGTTGGCCACCTCCTTAAAAGGATTCAGTCATCTTTCTACCCCAGGCATCCTATTGTAGGTATGTAGAGAAATGTAGGTATGTGACATGTTGGTGTTTAAAGAAGTTCGTATTTTAGTACCAGAAGGAGAACCCAGAAAAAGAACTTTTGAAAGAACCTAAAAAGCAAATTACAGTTTAGATTCTCTAGAGAGACGTGACAAGTAAATGGTATTTTGTGGAAGGGTGGGTGGGGTTTGGGTCAGGATTTGAAATTTAAAGGTCATATGTTTGATTTGTCGAAAAGATTAGAAAACTCCAACTCTAAGAAATATGCCAAGGTTGAATAGATGAACCTTAAAAATATCACAAAAAGCGAAATAAGTCAGTCCCGAAAGACCACATATGGTATGATCCCGTTTATGTGAGATGTCCAGAATAAGCAAATCCATAGAGGCAGAAGCGGGGGGGGGGGGGGGAGGCGATGGAATGGGTAGTGACTGGTAGTGGGCATAGGATTTCTTTTTGGGGTGCTGAAAATCTGCTCTAAAATTAGTTTGTGGTAATGGTTGCACAGCTCTGAAGATATTATATACTTTAAATCGGGGACTTTAATGGTATGTGAATTGTATCTCAATAAACTTTTTTTTTTTTATAAGAAATGTGCTAAGGTTGAAAATAACTTGTTATGCTACCTTAAATTACATTACAATTGTGTAGTATATTTGGCAGGCTGGTCTCTCTTTTTATTGATAAGTGTTTTAGATCGGCGAGTTGCAGCAATACAACAAACTGATAATTGAAGCTTAGCAGCAGGGATTCAATGCTGTGGTAGAAATGCGCAAGCAGGAAAAAAAGAATCTTGGTTCTGTGTAGCTTCAGTTAGGGATTGAGGAGCTGGATTTAAAAACACATGCTAGTGAAAGGCAGATTTTTGACAACAGAAACCTCAACTGAATTTGAAATGACGGTTTTTTTCAAGACAGTTTAGGAGCTGGGAGTCTGAATGGCTGTATTTCCAGTTTTATTATGTATGTTTTGCAACAAAGACATAAATTGCTGTTTCAAGATGTTTTACACACTCGTTTTTGATAGGCCATATTGACCAAGTGGTAGTAAGGACTGAGGATGAACGGTTCATTTTAATGCCTGTTGCTGTTTCTTTTTGTTGTTGTTTGTTACATAGTTCCAGGGTCTGAGCAGGAGAAAGTCTTTTTAGGATACATTGTTCCAACTATACCGCGATTTTTATATAATTAAAATTCCTTACAGAACAAAAGATTTTAAAATACTGCAATATGTTTTTGTTTTGAAAGTGTGTGCATTTATCCAAATTTACCCTGGCCTTTCAATAGGAAAAGACCTAGAGAATAATTGTTTACATTTGCTTTTGATCTTTGTCTAAGGCTGAGTTTACTAATAAAAATGTTTCCTGCCCTTCCTATTGTTGCAAGATCAGGGCAGTAATGAAAATCAACTGTATCATTTTCACTTGTTGCCTTAGACTTTTTGCCAAGAGGAGCCCTCAAGGGATGTTGGTTTCCTTTTAAACCTGGTTTCATTTGTTTTGTAAGAATGTGCTGTTAAGAAGCTACTGAATTCAGCCAGCACTTATTATGCACCTACTGTATGAAAGCTGACCTTGAGCTAGTCAGTGCATGAGCCTGCAAAGTCTTGTGTGAAGTCAAGTTTCTTGAAAATTCAGGTTTTTTGACCCCCCAGACTCAGTATAGGATGAAGTTTTCAAGTAAACAGTGGGCAGCATTTTAAAGGTTCTTCAAAAAATATTTCTGTAGATTTAAGACTTAAAGTAAACTAGTGTTGTTCATCCAGAAGCCTTTGCAGTACCTTTTTTTTTTTTTTTTTTTTTTTGCCTCATTGCTGCTTTCCCTTACGTTGGAGTGTGATGGTAGACCATGATGTATAGGTGATGCTAGCTCTTGACTGGCAGCACTGTATTCTTTATAACACTGGATTTGGCAACTGATATTTTAAAAGTACAATGTTGTAGTTCCCTTTTTCCAAAAATGAGGAGTCTTTCAGGTGTGCACATGAACGTTGCATGGCATGTTTCGAGTTGTAAGAAAGATGGGGACTTACTTCAGAAGTTTTCTGGATTACATATTGCTTTAGTTAGCTTTTTAGAAATCAGGAAGCTAATCATAATTTCAGGGCATTTTATAATTTATAAATAACTTGGTGTTTTTAAAAGCACGAGGGAGTAAGAATGAGGAGACAAATCTTGAAAGTTTTTGTTTTTTTTAAAATTGTAAACCATACAATATGTGTTTCTTTCTAGGTTGTGATTTTCTCCAATTTGTTTCCAAAACTGATTTTAAAAAATCAAACCTGGTTCATGGAAGAGATATTTGCGCCTGTGGGCGAACTTGCTTTGAACTGCTTTTCTTAGCCAACTTATGAAAGGTGCTATCTGAGTCCAGGAGATGAGCTTTTCTCAACTGTACTAAATATATAATAGTTGCATACATGCTAGGGATATAGTTTCTTGATTTCATTGTCTGAGATGTTCAGAAGGAAAATTCTGAACACTTTAAAGACAGCAGTGTGCCTCATGAGTGATGCACTCGGAGTCTTCCTAGAAAATGGTGTTTGGCATCCGCTTAGCAAGAGGAAGTTTTCCAGCTATTTGTAAAGATGTGATGTGGCTTTAACGGGGTGGGGCGGGGTGGGGGGGGTGGGGGATGTTGGGGGCAGGTGGGAGAGGGCAACAGTCCCAGTGTTTGTGGACATTGCGACCTGTTGACATTTGGGAAGTGTAACTGACTTACACTGTTTTAAAAGATTAAAACTCTGAAATATGTACACATCACCTCATGCCTTCACCTCCACCCCCAGGGATCTGGAAAATACTGATTTGTTCTGAGGAGGGAACATAGATTTGGTGTATAAAATGGTTAATAAACAAAGGATCTTTAAAACAAGTTAGATTGTTATCTTGAGACACATAGTTCCTTGGCATGATGTTTCCTTTTGTTAAATTGCTTTGGTTTTATTTAAGTATTGACAATACCTTTGATTTTGAGACTTCTGGACTTTCGAAAACGAAGTTTTTAAATGGTCATTTTTACTCGTTTGAAAGTCCCAGATAGCATTTTTAAAGATTTCTCTCCCTTTTTTCTCTGATTCAGCTTTACTTATGTTTTATTAAATTAATTTGAAATCTTAAGGAAAAATTGACATTTCCTTACTTGAACTGAGAAATAGTTGTTTTCCCTCCCTCTTTTCTTCCTCAGTAAATACATGTTGAGTACTTACTGGATCTTTAGATTTAGAAATTATTTGATACTATAAAATACCTTACCGTGAGTTTTTAAAGATACCAGTCAAACCGAAGATGTTACTACTGCCATGTTTTTTAAAAGAAGAAACTAGTGAGCAAGTTTAATTTTTTTCTTTCTCCTTCCTGGACTACAAGATTTTCTTTTCTTTTTTTGAGACAGGATCTTACTCTGTTCACCCAGGCTGGAATGCAGTGGTATGATCACTGTTGGCTCCAGCCTTGACCTCCCAGGCACAAGTGATCCTCCCAAGTAGCTGGGACTACAGGCATGCGCCACCACGCCTGGCTAAGTTTTTGTATTTTCAGTACAGACGAGGTTTTGCTCTGTTGCTCAGGCTGGACTCAGGTGACCCATCCACCTCAGACTCCCAGAGGGCTGTAATCACCCATGTGAGCCACTACGCCCAGCCTATGAGAATTTTTAAACTTGGAGGTTGCTCTTTTGATTTCACTGGAACACAACAGAAAGTAGTTTCTTTTATGGTGAGAGATGAACACCTACAATTGAAGTAGATTTTATAGTGTGATTTTGCTATCGTTTATGACTGGGGAAAGTAAGTAGGAATGCAGGGATTGCCTTTTTCTCCTGTTTACATTTAACTTGGTTAATGCTGCTGAAGGCTTAGTTTGTAAGTTGTCGGGCCACGCATCCATGGAGCTCGGTGACTTTGTGCTGCCCTGATGGCTGATGGTCTTGAAGCCCTCACATTCTTTGGAGTAGTGGGGTGGCTGGCTAGCCACATGGGGAAGATGTGCACCCCTGTGGATGGGGCCATCACACACTGCAGGGATAGCTGGACCTACCTTACTGCTCACTTGGCTGGGTGCAGCAGCTCACACCCATAACCCCAGCACTTTGGGAGGCTGAGGTGGACAGATCACTTGAGGTCAGGAGTTCAAGACCAGCCTGATCAACGTGGTAAAACCCTGTCTCTACTAAAAATACAAAAATTAGCTGGGCATGGTGGCCTGTGACTGTAATCCCAGCCACTTGGGAAGCTGAGGCAGGAGAATTGCTGAAACCCAGGAGGTGGAGGTTGCGGTGAGCTGAGATTGCACGCCACTGCACTCCAGCCTCGGTGACAGAGCGAGACTCCATTACACACACACTGAAATATATATATAAAGAAATAAATTGCTCACCTGGTAATAGTTTGGAAAACATCTTGTTTTTTTTTTTTAAAGCATATTTTAAAGACTTTAGAAAGTATTTACTAATCCAGAAAGTTCTTGGTGGGAGGAGTTTGAAACTTTGTTTTGTCTCACTCTTCACTGTGAGCCCTCTTAATACCACAGATCTCTACTTAAGTAAGAGTTACATAATAAAGACCATTTGTTCAAGATTGTGTATCTCCATCCATTCATCTGTTGTCTAAATTCTGAGAGTTCGAAGTACAGTGTTGTTGTTTTGTATACTTTGGTCCAGCCGTTTTCTTTAGAACATGGCACTAGCTTTCTTTAAACTGGCTTTGGATTTGTCAGTTTAAAAATCAATACCACTTTAAAAATTACTCGACATGGGAGAACAAATATGTCTTGATCATTTTAGAGCATAAATATTTTATAGAGCAGAACTTTAAAAATAAAAATTTCCTGATATATTTTGAATGTTTACTTTCAGCTTGTCCTCTGCTGTAAAAATACAAAAAATTAGCTGGGCACGGTGGTGCGTGCCTGTAATCCGAGCTACTCAGGAGGCTGAGGCAGGAGAATTGTCTGAACCCAGGAGGCGAAGGTTGCGGTGAGCTGAGATTGCGCCATAGCAGTCCAGCCTGGGTAACAAGAGTGAAACTCTGTCCCAAAAAAAAAAAAAAAAAAAAAAAAATAGTCGTGGTTAGTCTCTATAAAGTTGGTTATTGGGAATATATGCTTGATTATGAAAATGAGACATCACCAATTTCAGTCAGCCAAAGTTTAGTCAATAGAACGTTAAAGAGCAGAAGTCTAATGGTAATTAGGGAGGGATGAATTTATGTATAACAGTTTTTCAGTTTTTCCCCAATTCAACGTATCTTAGTGGCCTTTGATAACTTCCTGGAAAAAGTAGGAAGCATGGAGAGAAACTCCAGGTAGGAGCCCATGATCCAGTGGGCCACATCAGCTTACAGTGTTTTCTAAGTCATTAGATGCTAATTCTGTCTAGATTGTAAAATCCCCCTCAGTTGTGTCCACATTTGTCCGTGTCGTCTTGTATTCTCTCTGCCTAATTTCCCTGAGTCTCATTGTAGTGGGATAATACACAGGCTTACAGACTTTAAAGAGAAGCACAGATTGCAACGAAAACAAATGAACACAGAGACCAGCAGCAGCAGAGGGAGATCTGCTGTTAGGCTTCCCTGAGTTCTGTCTCTGATTTCTGTGGATGATGAGTTCACTGCATATGTTAGGTCACAACATGATATGTAGTCATAGGAACTGTTGTTATGGTAGCTTTCTTGGTCAGGTGATACAGCTGGGATTTTCTTTCTCACATGCACCTCTGTAAAGTTTTCAGCAACAGAGATTGGCTCAGGATGGAATTTGTGGTTCAATTTCTGTTCTGCAGCTTGTCCTTATCTGGGGAGACTGGTTAATTGAATGTTTCCTTTCTGTCTCACCGAGTCACTTGAAATTGCTCAGATTCACCCCATTCCTGGCTCCAGCCTGGCCCAGTCCAGACCTGCACGGATTCTGACTACATGCTGAGTTGGCCTCTGAACCAGTTCCTGTACCATCCACTTGGTTTGATGGACTTGCCAGCTCCAACTTCTCAGAATGTGCCTCTTGTGGTCCTAGAATCAAGTCCAAAGTCCTTAGAATCAAGTAATGAAACGGGTCTTTAGTAATCCTTTTCTGTGGGGATCCAATGTTAGTTCCTTGTACTCCCCAGCTTCTGGGCTTTAGCTTGATGGAAAGAAAGCTGTGTTATTCCTGTCTCCAAGTTTTTGCTTCTGCTATTTCCATTCCATAGCTGGGAATGTTTTCCCTCTTCACTACTCTGGTACTTCTCCTTACACCCTCAATAGTGAATAGCAGAAAGTGCCACTTAAGAGCAAAGAAAGGTCAGCATAGCTTTAGTTTCTTTAACTTTTGTGAGACTCAATAGAAATGTGGAGACTTAAAAATATTTGGGGGAGACAATTTTCCTTTTCTCACCAAAATGGAAACATTTTTTAATATGTTTAGAAAACCAAAGCCAGAAAAATTGTGAGGAAATAGGTTTTTGAAAAATTAATCTCCAAGTTTCAGGTAGATCTGTAAAATAGAGACAAGATTATGACTTTCTAAAGGCAGCACACTAAGATGATTTCCCCATATACCTTTTCTGTGGTTTTAATCGGTCTGAGATGCCATCCTTAGGTTTCTAACTCAGATTCCTTCTCCTTCCTGAAGGTTTTTGGGATTTCCCTAACTTGTGTAGTTCTACTTATCCATGACTCCTTTTGAGTTCATAACCATGGCTTTGCTGGTTGACAGTGATTTGTTTTGTCTTATTCCTTGCCTGTAATTTTATGAGGACTGTGGGGCCAAAGTGGCTGGTTTGAATCTCAGCTCTTTGGTAGCTAAGCTCTAAGGCAAATTATTTAATCCTCTTTTGCCTCAGTTTCCTCATCTGTGAAATCATAATTTCAGTAGAACCTACTTTAAATCTTCACAAAAATCAAACGAATTCATATACATGTCAAGTGCTTAGAACAGATACCTGGCACCTGATATTAAGCCCTCAGACTTCAGCTGTTCCTGCTCTTATGGATGTGACATCATTGAACAGAGATGTTCTTTGGATAGAAATATAAGGCAGACTTGATGTTTGTCATTTAAATATGGTATATAGCCTGGAACATAGGTGCTCAATAAATGTATAATAAAACTTTATTTTGCTAAGGTGCTTATTTACAAGATGGCATGTTGCTTATTAAACAGTTGCGATTTTTTTTTTCAGTAAACAGTAGCCCCTGCAGTTTGCCTTCCATTTCAGACATCTGTTTATTACACTTTCTCCCTTAATCTTGTCATTTGTCAATTTCTGCTTGCACCTGAGAGGTGTCCACTGTGCGCCTTGCCCATCTCACCAATGCATAGGCTCCATCTAGTGGCCAGAAAGGAAATTCAGCCCATTCGGTGACTCAAGTAACAGTGCCCGGACGAGGTAACGGTGCCCGGAGGAGGAAGATTGCGATCCCAGCCCACTCTCTGGGTGGGTTCCTAGGGACCGATCGCAAGAAAATGTGGATACTGCAGGCTTATGTAGAAGGCACTGGGCTAGAGTTTAGGGTTAAGGTTACTCTACTGTGTCAGTGCAAGCTGTCCTGAGAGAATTAGGGTCTCCCTAAATGATGCAACTCCATGGCAGAGCTGTTACACCCGGTGTGTCATTTCCAGTTAGAGTTTTAAGATAACTTCACAGGACTTTCATAAATTAAAACCTCTAAAATATTTCTTTTGAGATTAGAGATTTAAAAAAAAAGATTCATTTGGAAAAATACAGCAAGATTTACCTTCCATCGCTCTGTTTAAATAGGTAGTAACACTTTAATTATCATGCTTATATCTGTCCCCTTGGGCTACTCTATGTGGTTAAGATGCTTGCCAGCCAGAAATACTTACAGAGAATAAGAATAAATACATCTATGATTGGTGTTAGGTTCCACACTGTATTTTGTTAGATAATTTTATGTATTTCGTTTCATGTTTTATTGATATTTTCAGAATCTTTCTTGCTGAGATTACACAAAATATATAGCTGGTTATTCAGTTTGACATGTCAGTTTCCCTATGATTGCCTTTTACTGTTTTTAATTTGGAAATCATTTGTTTGGCTGTCTGAGAGAGAACTTCAGCCTCCCTTCCTCCCAGACGTTCTGAACAACTTCTCAGACTATACTCATTTGTGTCTCTTTGTCTTGGCAGGTGGAAGCCCCTCTACTTGGAATAGCAAACAATACTACCAGCTTGCCCTCTGGCAAGCCCCTTTAAGAGTTAGCTGCAATTTCACCCTCTCTCTGGCCTTGATTTTGCATGCAGGTTGGTTGCGCTGACTTGAGCGCCTGTGGTCTGTTCCTATACCTGTATATGGGCATCTCCCCAATATTGTTTTCCCCTGATGTTGGGGAGGGGAATGGTACCTTGGTCATCTGAATTCCTGGGGCGTGGTCCAGTGCCTGGTGCATAGGAGGAGCCGAAGAAATGGAAGACTTCTTAAAGGGATACTCTCCATTCACTTTGAAACACTTTTTTTGTACAACACATTTATTTTCATCTAATCATTGCACCTCTGCCAGCCAAAACATTTTACCATACCAATTACTGCTGCATGGAACTTGAAAACAATAAAATTATCTTTAAACTCATTGTTAGACTTTTTGCACGTTGAGGTAAATTAAAAAACAATTAGCTCCTGGAAGGGTCATTTGTGAGTCTGGCCTTCTGTCAAGATCACCTCATCCCTGTGGATGGAGACTTTGTTCTGTAAGTTCCTTATAGAGATGATGTAATAATTAATTCAGTGGCACCGATTTGTGTCTGTAGTATGCTTTTAAACCTTTGTGGAGCTGGGCACCTGAGGAGGAGGCATCTGTAGGCTGGACTCAGCTGCCTGGTGGTCTTGGGAGTGGCCTGATGCAGAGGGCCAGGGTAACACCTCAGAAAGGTGGGTGGGTGCTTGCACACCTGCTGTGAGTGACAGGGTGGTCCTAGGTTATTTCACAGGCCCTTCCAGCCTTCAGCTCTCAAGACACTAGACAGAGAGAGAGATGGAGTTTTTAGGGAGCTGTGGTTGGAACCAGCAGAATCACCACATATGGAAGTTGGCTTCTATTTCTTGCATTGTTTTCTTGGTGAGGGCTATAACTTTTGCCTTACCTCTTGTCAGGGACAGTAGCAAGGTCTTAAAGGTCTCTTTGAGGCCAGCATCCTACCTCTGGACAGAAGACAGTCTAGGTTGGTGTAAAGAGGACTCCTGAACTTAATGTAACACCTTAGAAATTATTGTTAAAGTCTCCTCTCCTGAGGAGGGCAGGATATTTCTTGAAGAAAATGTAAACATCACCATTTGAAGCTGGAATGTTAATTTCAAGAGCAGCTTGTAAAAAAGCATCTTGTCAAATTCCCATGTGAATGCTGAACCAGGCAGATGTGAACTTAGACAGCCTGGCCTGCCTTTGTTCTGCTTTTCTCCGTGCGGTTTGCACATGTGCAGGGTATCCTTTGAAGCCTTGTCCCCTTGAACAGTTCACCGTGTCCCTCTCTCCCATGCATGGAGGCATGTTGGAAAGGGAGCTCCAGGCCTCGGTGTGTCTGCCTGTGATTGGAATAACCCTGTTCTAGCAGGGATGCTGTGAGAATTAGCAATAGATAATTGCATCCAAGCTGCCCAGCAGAACAGGCAAATAGCACCCAATAAATGGATGCTTTTCTCATTTTTCCTCCTCCCTATGGTGGGTGGCCCTAGTGGGCACTCTTTGGGGCCTCCAGTCCTCTCTCCCCACAACACTGGGGCATTGCTGCCAGTTGAAAAGGGTCTTTTCTTTTTTTTGAGACCATCTCGCTCTGGCGCCAGGCTGGAGTGCAGTGGCACGATCTTGGCTCACTGCAACCTCTGCCTCCCGGGTTCAAGCTCTTCCTTGCCTTAGCCTCCTGAGTAGCTGGGAATACAGGCGTGCACCACCACACCCGGCTAATTTTTGTATTTTTAGTAGAGACATGGTTTCATCCTGTTGGCCAGGATGATCTCGATCTCTTGACCTCATGATCCACTCACCTCAGCCTCCCAAAGTGCTGGGGTTACAGGCGTGAGCCACTGCACCCAGACTTTGTCTTTATTTTTTTGAGACAGAGTCTTGCTATGTTGACCAGGCTGGAGTACAGTCATGCAATATCAGCTCACTGCAACCTCTGCCTCCCAGGTTCAAACAATTCTTGTGAATATAATATATAAATAATACCTTCTTCTTAAGAAGCTGGGATCACAGGTGTGTGTCACCACACCTGGCTAATTTTATTTTTTAGTAGAGATGTGATTTTGGCATGTTGGCCAGGCTGGTCTGAAACTCCTGACCTCAAGCAATCCACCTACCTCGGCCTCTCATAGTGCTGGGATTACAGGTGCGAGCCACCGTGCATGGTTGAGGAGGGTTTTCTTTTTTGCATATCTACAGTGAATATTTGAACCCAGAAGTCTGAGTCTCAGGTCAGCTGTTGAAACCACAAAGTAACCACCTTACTTCTCTGCCTGAAGAGAATTATTTTTTAGATTAACTAGGCTTACTGGTTCAAGGTCTTGTCCATATCTGCAGAGGGTGAGTTGGAGGGGGAGGTGACAAGAGTGTGGAACTCTGTTTCTGACGTCTAGATCTGAGGGCCTCCAATGGTGTCCGCTTCATGGAGACCATAAGAATATGATTATTATTTTTTTTTCTCCTCAAGGAGCTTACTGTCTTGTTGGGAAAACTCAGCTACTGGTGGAGAGTAACAGCCGCTGTGTGTTCAGTGCTAAGCTATGGGATGCTGACCAGAGAGAAGTGAGTGCGCTGCAGGTGGTCGGGTCACGGAGCTGCAGAAAGGCTTGAGAAGCTTTAAGGAGGATGTCTGATCTAAAGGCACTTTAGGGTGCCCCAAATATTTGACTCTCAATATCCAAGGGGGCAGCTCCCCGGGAGAGGAAGGCACCATGTGTAGTTTGGGTGGCAGTGGGCCCTGATGGAGTGGAGAGGTCATCAGAATCTGGTGTGTGTGGGAAGGAGCTGACTGCCACCTAGAGAATGGGGAGCTCTGAAACCTCCTCATTGCAGTGGACCTGCTGAGAAGGATGTTCTGGGGAGGCTTCTCTGGGCTCTCGATGGAGTCAGGATTGAGGGACAGAGATAGATGCTCAGGGAGGGATGTATTGTCTCTAGGCTTGAGATCAGGGAAGCTGGAATGGACTGGACGTGTTGGCCCAGCCAAGGGAGGCGACTGGTGAGACAGGGGTCCTCAGTGTGAGGGACTGGGTTGCCAGAGGAGCTGTGGGTCTGGGGTGGTTTGTCAAAGAGGGCAGACCCAGTGGATGGAGAGGCAGGACTCACAAAACAGGTTGGCTGCAGTAGCACAGAGGAGACACCCAGCACTTTGAAGGCATGGAATGGAGCGAGCTAGGGGAGCAAACCTGCAGGGAGGCAACTCACATAGCACAGTTCTCTGGAAACTGCAGTGTTCAGCTTTTTTTTTTTTTTTTTTTTTTTTTTGAGACGGAGTTTCACTCTTGTTGCCCAGGCTGGAGTGCAGTGGCGAGATCTTGGCTCACTGCAACCTCCGCCTCTTGGGTTCAGGCAATTCTTCTGCCTCAGCCTTCGGAGTAGCTGGGACGACATTCTTTTCTTTTTAAATAGCTGGATGTTAGGAAAGTGGAGAAAGCCTCACCTTTATTAGGGGCATAATGGGTGTCTGGTAGCGTTGAAACCCATGGAGTGTAGTATGCCCTCCGATTGTGTTCCTCTCCTCTGAAAGGTGATACCTTTTCAGGTGAGCGCTCTTGCTGTTCATTTTTGGGGCACTGCTTTCTGACTTTTAGAGGCATCCAGGCTGGAGACTGACCCCTGCTTTTTTCCCAGTTGGGCCGGCTGAGCCTGAGGCTGGTTCTGGATGGGCCAGGCTAGTGCCATGGCCTTGGGCTTCCTGAGGCTGGGAGAGGGAGGAGGCCCCTGATATCCTGCAGAGCTGGCCATCCTGGCAGGGTTCTTTCTAGTCCTTAACTGTGCAAGTGGAGAGGAATGATTTGTTTAAAAAGAGGTGCCAACTTTGCATCCAAGTCTGGGCTTTGCTACTGGTGCTTCTGAACTTGTATTGATTTATGTTTGTAAATTGACTGGACACATTGTGGTTCTTGATGAGAAGCAATTGCCCGTCCTTAGCCCACGATGAGTGGCACTCACTGGGTGCTGCCTGTTCTGCCACTGTAACTGTTTGTTTTCACTGGACAGATAACATTTAAAAACACAGTAATGCAAGAGACTTCCTGGGAGGGGGATATCATTTGGCCTGTGGGCTTTTGTAATACTTTACTGCTATTAGGAGAATTCTGAATTTTCAGTCATGTTCACCTGTTGGAGCACGCAAGCAAAGTTCAAGGATTTTAGAAGGTCTTCTGTTTTTCCCAACTGGAAAGCAGGCCTTCTGTGTTTTCCCCCAGTCTTGTCTGATGGCTCCATTCCCTTCTGAGATTATTAGAGTTAGAGCCCAGAGAATTAGAATCTATTGATGGGTTGTACTGGAGGCAAATTATTTACCTTCTCTGCCCTCCTTTTCTCATCTGTAAAATGGAAGATAACCAGTGTTTGTGAGTGAATATGTACACATTTCTTAGAACCTAGCACTTATCATGAACACTAGGAGTTCGCTGATACTGTTGTTGACAAAGAGGAAATACACGTTAGAAGTTACTTTCTTTAAAAGTCGGGGGGGACCCTTTGGATGTGCATTGATTCAGATGTTTTGCTCCTAGCTACATTTGCCAATTTTTGACGGCAGAGTTAGGAACCAGCTTCATTTTATGTAGAGAGAATTTCATAAGTACTCCGTTGGGGATAGCAACACAGCTCCCTCCTGACTGTGCATCTGCCTGGATTCCAAGGCCCTTTTGAGAAGGCCTCGATCCATTCAGTCTCTTCCTTCTCCAAGGAGAGGTAGGTAATTGGGGGTCACCTGGCCTTCTGGGGAAGAGTCTGGTCATGAGCATGAGGGATGTGAGTGGGACTGTGTTTCCAGCCAAAATGTAGGGCACAGGATCTGAAAAACAGGAATCTAAGTGTCCGCAAAACAAATTAGGGTATTTTAAATTGAGGGTGGGGAAACCTAAGAACCTGTGCCCTTTGTAGGTTGGTGGCTGATTGCAGGGATAAGCATCCCCAGCAGGGCAGGCCCTCCGGCTACCAGAGCAGGAGAAGACATTGGTCCGATGGGAAGCCAGCTGCAGTATGTTGCTTGATGCAGCATGGCAAGAAGGAGCTGCTCTCTTGCTCTGCTCCCTGGATTGCACAGGGCCTTCCTAA